CCCACAGAGGAGCCCCTTGGGAAGGAAGTGAATGCAGGAGCTGCATCCCTAAGGAAGCTCTGGAACTTGCAGCATCTTTGTGCTGCTTGGAGGGTCAGCTTCCACAGTGCTGGTGGTATCAGCATTTGAGGATGCCTTTTTTTCTTTCATGAGACACAGACTTGAAGGATGTTACATATCGCATCTACTAATGCATGCCACATATATTAATATATTCAAGTGCTTGAGTTGATGAATGAATAACTTCCACTACCTGGCCTTAGTTTTCAGTTCTGGTTGATCCAGTATTTTTAAATTATTCCAGCTGTTTGCTGTATGTTCTTCAACAAAAACCCTCTGGAGTAGTTTTCTGACTGGATGTGTTCCTCCTGTGCTCTGTTGCTCTGTACCAATCCAGTCCAATCTGCTTGTTCAGGGATACATGAACTGTGCCTTCTGTCACTGCACGTCACGCGCTCTGTGCTGTTCCCAGCCACGCCTGACACTGGCACTGGGGGCCACAGTCACTGCATTCCCACAGGATTTAAAGGAACTCTGTTGTGTAAATGCCTGAGGGAAGAAATTGATTGTAGGGGACGTTTCTCAATCTCTGATATGACCCACTTGGAAGATCCAGATGTGGTTGGCACTTCCAGCTGTGTTCTGTTCCCAACCTTTCTGTCTCGCGGTGCTCATGATGTGTGAGGCACACGGAAGGCATTGCTGTAGTTGGTCACTTCTTGTTTTTTACTCCATTTCTCCTCCTGATATTAGTTCTGAAGATGCTATTTTGATCTGTTTGTAAATTACTTTGTATTTTATGCATGTACTGTACTTTGATTCATTATTTTTTTAGATTGATTTAAAATATATTCATCCATTATTCTAATAAAGAATTACAGGGGACGACTCACTGTGGTGTTGGGTGCACTTCTTGGGAGAATTGGGATTTGACTGAAGGTTTTATCTCTGGGCTTCTTAAGAGGCAGTGAGAAGACACTGAAGTGGAAGTGTCCCTGGAAAAGGAGCTGAAAGGGTTGTGTAGCACAGTTGCCTTCCCTGAGAGCAGCTCTGAGCTTCCTGGGGCTGCTGCAGTTCATGGCCAGTGCACTTTGGCAGCTTCAGGAAGCTTTGAAGCTTAGAAAATTCTGTGGGTTCACTCCACTCAAACCTCTGAATAACTTTTACAAACTGTTTTTTTTTTCCCCATGTTGCCACAGGGAAGAAAAGCCGGCGAGAGACAACTCCTGCTTTTTGCAGCTTTGGATCCTGCTGTGGTGTCCTGATGCAGAAGCGCCCAAGAGCACCAACAGGGCAGCACCGGTGGCCCTGGGGATGGCTCTGAGGGTGAGGTGTGAGCCTCACTCATTGCAGGAGCTGTTCTTGCAGCACATTTTCTGCCCATACTGGAGCAGATTTTGGAATCAATCTATTTCTTCTGGCAGCCAAGTTCTAAATTTGTCAGCTGGAAATGCAGGATGCGTTTCACTCTGCTTCCTTTCCTCATTCCTATAAGCAGGTGACTCGACTCTGCTGTCACATCAGTCTGGATTTTGTGTGGTTTTAGGCAAAGCTTCCTCCTGCAGCAGATGGAGTTGCAGTGCAGATGGTGGGAGCACAAACCACTGTGAGAGGCTGAGGACTTCTAAAGCAAAATCCAGTGGGGTCTGTGCAGAAAAGGAATTTCTCACCTAGAAATCCTTTTCCTCCTGTTCTCAGGGTCTGTGCTGTTTGCCTAAGGATTGCAGGGCCCTGGCAGCAGATCCTGGCATGGGCTGGGTGACACTCCTGGGACAGGAAGGTGCTTCCCAAGGTGTTTTGGGAGAGACAATGCAAGTCATTATTCCATCTGAATGCTTTCCAATAGGGGATTGTCCTGTTCAGCTGCTGATTAATCATTCTGTTCCATAATTGGAACTACTTGTGTACTGATGTGTCTCCTCCCTGCTAATGGAGACAGCTGATGGTAACAGACACTGCTTTGGGCTCTGGAAGGAGCTTTCTGAGATTCTGGGAATTCCACATAATGCTTCAAAACAGCCTTTGCCTGCCAAAAGTTTTTGCTGTCATTTACATATTTGAAAGCTCCAACTTTTAACAATTATTCAGTGAGCATCAGTGGTTCCTGTTTTTGATGGGAGTTGAGGTTCTGACTCTTAAGCAGAAAGGACATGGAATTGTTCTGATTTAGACATTTTTATTAAGCTAGAATTACTTATTCTATAAATTCAGACCTGATGAATTTCCAGCCTTAAATAGCTTATCGAGTGTGGCTTGTCAAATAAGAAGATTACACGCTGGGCTTTAGTTAACAAGATTTTTAGAAATACGAAGCACAAATATTGAAAAGCTTCAGCACATAGCAGTGGCTGCGTTGCCTGGGACTCATTAATTCTGCAGGTGTTTCTGCTGCAAATCTGTGATTTATTCATTGGGCTCCCTGGGAGTGCTGGGCTGTCTCATGTCCTGTCCCATCACTGCTGGGTGGCCGTGGGTGCCCAAGTGTCCACCCAAAGGAACCTGCAAGTGGCCCAGGGCAGGGTCACCACACAGGGTGGGTGTGCAGGGGCTCTTCCAGCTGGGATTGTGCATTCCCAGGAGTCTCACTGAGGTCAAACTGCCCAGGAACTGGGGACAAGGGTGTGCACAGCCACTTACCTTTGGTTTGCTCCAACTTGGAATGGCAGCACTGGGTTTTCTGAGCCATCCTGCCAATTCTGTTCCAGCCTGGTGCCTGGGGAGTTTTGGCTGAGGGGAGCAGCCACATCACCTGCAGAGCTTGGATCTGTGCAGGGCTGGAAGTTTTGCTCTGCAAATGAGTACGTTGGAGAGCTACACATTGAGAGAAATTCAATTTATTTTGTACAAGGTAAGATACCTTTGCACAGTGAACAAATATATTACAAATCTGTCTTGCCTTAAAAAAGTATTGCCATTTTGGTGCCTGTTTCCTAAGCTAATGCTGATACACAAGAAGGTACTTTTTTTTGTTGGTTTTGTTGGGTTTTTTCCCTGTTAAGCTCTATGCACATCATTGCACTTGGTTTTGAAATCCTGCTTTGAAAAAAACCAAACCAAACAACAGAGCTCATCTGTGCTCTGGAGTCTCATTGCAAACTACAGCAACACACAAACATGGGTCAGGCCAGCAGCTCGGGCTGCTTGTGCTGGGTGCCAGGGTGGCTTTTAACGAGAGTATTCCTTATCCAACTGCCTTTCTTTTGATATTTTTGAGGTAAGTCTTTCCATTCATGTACGTAAAATATATTCCTACTGGGCCTACAAAAGAATTGTTTTCTTACATCTCAAATAAGGCTTTCCTGGAAAACAAAATTGCTATTGCTGATCAGCCATGGCCCCCATGCACACATGCAGCATTCGGGAAACCTCGTGGGCAGGATCCTGCGGCTCGGACAGTGCCTGCTCCAGGAGCCTGGGGGTGTCCAGGCTCAGCCTGACCACCTGAACAGCCCTGCCTCCAAGGGGAAAGGCTCCCAGGGCTGGAATGCCCAGAGCCTGGGACTGTGATCCCAGGCATGAGGGCTGAGCCCATCTCTGGGGACATGGCTGGGCCCTACCACGGTGCTCCAAGGATCCAGGAGTATTCCCAGGGCTGGGATCCAGCTGCTGCCCCCGAGCTGGAGGGCTCCTCTTGCCAGTCCCTGAGCCCAGCAGGTGACACCCAGGATCGTGCTGTGAGCAAACCCACAGGGCTGGAGTCATCTTCTTCTGCTTCCATCAGACTGGCGAATGTGCAACAGAATATTTTTATATTTAAAAGGCAATCAACTTGCTACTTCCACGTTTGCCTAATAAAATTACATACTTAGAGTCAATACTACTTCATGCTCAAAATCTACAAGGAACTAACGGCAAGTACTCTACTTTCTAGGTCAATAGAGATTATAAATTAAAAAAAAATCATGGTGGCTCAGTCCAAAGTTTTACCATGGGTCAGACCCTTGATAATTACTTCACAAACAGCTGCTGGAAAAGAAAACCCAGTTTCAGCTCCATTTAATGACATTTCAGGTAGAATCATCAACGGATAAAGTTGCACTACATGGTAATGCACATCAGCTTAAGAGGTGTCATCAGTGGCATGCTGACAGTGAATCATGAGGAGATGGTTTGGGAAGATGGGAGAGAGAAGCCGATGTGGCTCAGCTTTGAGAAAGGAAATGAAACCAGGGCTGGTCTGTGCAAACCTGCAGTGTCCCAGGGCAGGAATTGGAGGGGTAGCAGTTTAAACTGACAGATCTGCTGGATTTTAGCTACCAAAAGAGAAGCTGCATAAGGAAAATCAAAGCCTACCTGTGCCAATCAATGTTAAAAGTGTGGTAAGATGGGTGTGAATTCGTTGTGGAAATTCCATTCATTAGCAAAGACCAGGGGACATTTGGAAAGATATTAAAAACTGCACAGAAAGTGTCTGTGTTAACATTCCTCACTTCAAATTCTCTGGTACTGAAAATAGAGATGACAATCTCAATGCTAATTACCAAGCATGATCTGCACAGGTTGCACATGGTGATGGCAGTAAATGAGCTTTCCAGACAGTGAAATGACAAATTTCCCTGCTCTTGTTCAGAAAAATGTCCATTCTCATGACAAAGATGAAAATAAATTCCAGCGTATTCCTAGTCACCTTGTTCCTAACAGTAAGAAGTTTCTTGATGCAGTTGGTAGAAATGTACATCCTGAAGTCCTTCTACTTAGCATGTTTTTGTGGTTTATTTTACAGCAAAGCCAGGGTTAGAACGTGTCACGGAGAGTTTTTGCCTGGAGCATGAAGACACCTTCCTGGGGTGATGTGCTCCAGTCGCACGTGAAGGAGGCTCTCGTTAGTTCCAGGTACCCATACAAAAATCTCTTTATAAATAACATCATGCAGCAGCAGTTGGCCCAAGCTGATGTCGTGTTAGGTCCTTGCCAGTCCGCAGGAAAGGAAGGAACGGCTTCTCCTCTGCTTCCTCACAGTCTGTGTTGGCAGCACAGTGCCCAGTGAAGTCCATCCCTCTCTAAGACTGCTTGTCCCAAGAAGGCCCGTGCGTGGGGCTGTGCCGGACGGGGAGCAGGTCGTAGTGACCAGGAATGTGACTGTTCCTAGGCAGGTCATATGGGTTCTGAAGGTAACTGGCACTCCGACTGCGGGCATCCTGGACTATGCTGACAGTGGGCTCTGGGGGAGCAAGGAGAACTGGGTTGTGGTGACCAGCAGCAGTCCCAAAACTCCTGATCCTCATGGGTCCCTTCCAGCTCAGGCCCTCCCCCTGCCACTTCATCCCTGTGCCACGCCAAGCCCAGGATCCTTGTACCAGGATGGGGGAAAACCAGCATCTCCACCACCCCCCCTGTGCCACCCACTGCTTACCAACTTCATAGATGTTTTTATTGGCTGTTGATGAAGTTGGCATTTCGGAATACGGGGACTCCCTGTGACCAGGTGATTTCATTTCCACGTAGCTGCTCTCGGAGTGTTTGCAGGTTAAAATGGGGGGGTCTTTAATGGTGGCGTATGGGTTTTCACTGCTGTTCAGGGAACAAGTGCTGGAGCTGCACACAGATTCTTTCATATAATCTGCAAAACAAGAGCCGAGTGGGTGCGTTAGGGTCATTAGCTTAATTAGGTTAATTACAACTGAGCCTCTGCAGGAAGGCTGGGGGGGACACAAGGGGGCAGAGGATAAGGAAGATCCTTGAAGCCTCCAGCACAGACACCCGGTGCTTGTGCTCTGGATGTTCCAGACCATTGCATCCACCACTCACTAGCAGGAAAGAAATGAAAACCTGCTCAGTACTGAAGGTTTTCCTGTGAAAGGTTCTGGCTGTCATTGACTGCAATATTTAATTTGAGGTGGCAATCCTTTCCTCCCTCCCCCTAATTCCTACGGAGCCGTGTTTATCCTGCTCTGCCTGTCCCGCAGACCCAGGCACGGCCGCAGGCAGCCGGCTCTGCAGGCAGGAGCTGCTGCTGGGACCTGGGGTGCTCAGCCAGCTGCAGGGTGAGTCCCAGGCCTTGGTCACATCCAGTGCCCTGTGCTGGAGTGCACGACATTGCCACAGGCTCAGAACTGCACCAGTGCAGCCTCTGCATGTGCAGCCCCTGCTGGTTTTGGGGTTATCCAGCATCCTACAATTGGGGAATGCTTGGGTTTCCACAGGGGGAACAAGCCTCCATTTGAGCCTCACTTTTGCTCTGCTTTTTTCCCCCTCTTTGCTGTAGACATCTCCTGCTCATCTCCCCTGGGCTGGAGAGGAGCTGATGGAGGCACTACATGGGTAGAACAAAGTTGGCATGAGAGCTGTGACCGCCGGCCTGCCTGGTCCGTGACCTTGGCTGGGATAGGCCAGCCTGCTGCAAGGTACAGTGCCAGTCTTGCTTTAAAAATAAAAAACAATAGAGAATAAATAGGTCTTAACATTGACATTCAAGAACGTGCCATTGCTGTTGTGTGCATCCTGCTGGGCAGTGCCAGTAATTTAGAATTAGAGCGATGCAATGAAAGATGAGGCATTTTCTTGTGCTGGGTTACAGTACAAAGGCAGATCCTGGTATATATGAAATACTCCCGGTGAAATAGGGGGACTTGCAAAATAGCTGCAATCCCAGCTGCCCCCGCTGTCTAGTATGGGAGACAAAAAGAGAAATTCAGGTTAAGAAATAGACAGACAACACGACATCGCTTCTCCACTCCAAACCTTGGCTCCGAGCCTGCCAGCCCCGTCCTGCTCCCTCACGTGCCAGGTTTGCTCCACTGTGAGTGATTGTCCCTCCTTCAGCTCTGGGCTTGTGTCTGTGTCTGTGTGTCTGTGTGCCTGGCACCCTGGCCTGGTGCCCCTAGTGCTGGGTCAGCCCTGGGGGAGGTGCCAGGTTGTGCTGTGCCACCTGCAGCCAGCTGTTGCCTTTCTGGGCTCTGATTTCAGTGGTACTGAGTCTGGAGAGCCCTCAGCTCCCAGGGTCAGCTCTCTGGGAAGCTCCACTGCACACAAATAGCTGGGACCATCAGGGATGGGGAGGCTGGCAGAGGCCTGGCACCAGTGCAATGTTTATTTCATTAGAAAACTTAGAAACTCCTTGTTTGACATCAGCCTGGGTGAGATGAGCAGTGCCTTTGCTTGCAAGTGAAACACACCTGGTTTGGTACCTAGCAGGAGATGGGAACCAAAGCAACACCAACATTCCCTGGCTGTTGGCTGCAGGGTTTGTCCCTCCAGGGTCACCAACCCCAGCCCAGCACACGTCAGTGGAAAACTGCCCCATCCCATCCTTCTCTGGAGAGATGGAGACCTGTGAGACCAAAGGCTTCTGCACAAGAGTGAGCTCAGTGTTGGCTTTTGCTGTGTATGTGACTGATCCAGGTGCCAGTCTGGGATCTCCTGGCGGTAGAGGTGAGGAAACCACAGACAGACAAATGAAAGCCTCAGCTCCACCTGCCAGCAAGTTACAGCTCCTGGTGGCTACTGCAGGGACATAGAGCTCGTTAGGAGAGCCTGGGCTGCCTTTAATGAGCCGGCTCTGCATTTTGGGGTGAGGGACATGAAGATTATCATAAAATTGCTTCTTTATTTCAAGCAGTGCTGCTGAGTAGATGCTGACAGGGCGAAAGGCAGGATTCCCTCTGTGCCCCAAGAACCCCCTGCAAAGCATTCCCTGTCAGCACCACGGCTGGGAGGGAACAAATCAAACCAGAGCTGGGTGTAGATTCAGGAAATGTTGATTATAAAGGGCTGCTACAGCAAAGAAGAGCAGAGTGAGAATTCCTCCTCCTGCAGAGCTGCAGCTGCAGGTAAATAGCTGTGTGGTTTGTTTATGGAATTGGGCACATTGGAGCTGGCAAAGGCAAAAATCCCAGCACATCAGCTATTTTATTTCATCCAGCTCAGCTACTTTTATCTCTCTAAGCTAAAATTCACCTGTACTGCAGTTAGGGCTGACATTACCTCCCAGGCAGGTGTCCCTCAGCCTTTCCCTTCCCAGGACCAGTTGGAAGAGACCAGTGAATGCCACTCGGGCTGCCCAGACCTGTTTGGCCTCTCCCAGGAATTGCCTTTCCCAGGAGATATTGAGAAACAACAAGCCTGAGAGCCCAGAGAGCCCATTCCTGCTGACGTAAACAGAGCTCTGTGTCTGCCTGGGATCAGACCTTTGCTTTGGACACAATATATTTTATGGAGCACCAGTGGATGTTTGGGATTCTGCGTACATCAGGGAGTCATTAGCCCTCAAGAAACATTATGTGCAAGATCATGGAGGATTTAACTCTAAAGGCTGTAGAAGCAGCTGAGTTACTCTGTTATTAAGGTAATTTGGAGATAATTAAGAAGTCTGGCATCAATTGCCAAATTTTGTTTCATTAATTAATTTAAGCAGAACAGATTTATTTAGAGATTCTCAGCCCATGGTGCTGCAGGCCATGTGTGAGCCCAGGCTGTGCTGCCTCCTCATCCCTCCCTGCCACAGGGTCCAGTTCTCATGGAGGTGGAAGCTCTGCCCTGCAGTGCTGGGACTCACTGGAAGCTCTCAATCAGCTGGACTTCCAGAAAAATATTGGGAATATGCTCTAATTTTGAAGTCCCTGCCTTCCATGTTGCCTGGATACCGATAACCAGACCTTTGGAGGATTTATTTTTGTTAGCAGGGACTGGAAATGTCCCTCCCACAGGCTGGGTTCCTCTCTTGTGCCCTGAATTTCCCCTGGCATCCTGCTGACAAGCCTTGGATCCCACAGCCAAGGTGGAAGTGCTGAGGAGAGGAACTGTACACTGCTGGAAGGTGTTCTCCTGCTATTTAACCCTTGCTGGGATGAAGTGCCTGTGCTGGTTGCTGTCCCTGGCCTGGCCAGCCTTGGCTGCTGCAGGGACAGTGACACAGTGAGGGCCCATTGCTGCCTCTCAGAGAGGCACAGGAGTAGGGTCACATCCTGAACAGCAGCCAGGTGAACCACTCTGAGCCCAGCCCTGCATCCCTGGGGTCAGTGCTTCTCTCTGCTGGGATTTTCCTGGCTCCTGGCTGTGCTTTTCCTTAAAATGGTCGTGCCTGAGGTCACATCATTCCATCAGTGCAGCGGTATCCATTTAAAAAAACCCCCAAACCTCTAAAAACCAAAGGACTTAGCTGAAATGAAAAGCTCAGGAATGGTATCACTGAGCACCTTGCTCAGGAAAGAAACTGCTCAGAATCTTTCTCTGAAAACCCTGGTGCCTGTTGAGCTGCTGTCACCAAGTGCCAGCAGGGCCCTGTGACAGCCAGCCCCTCTCTGCTGCTTGCAGACCCTGGGCTGGACACCTGGCAATCCCAGATCTCTGTACCTGACCCCTGGGGCTCCACAGCATCTCCACCACACCCCTGGTGCCAGGCTGCACAGGGGACACCCCTCTGCTGGTGCCCTGCTCTGGGCTCCTCAGAGAACTGGGGAAGCAGGAGGTGGCCCAGGTTCACCACAGCCTGGCCTCAGCCTCAAGCCCCCTGTGCCCCCTCCCTGCAAGGCTCTGCCTGATCCAGGGGTACCAGAGACCATTTCCAACTGCAGGACAGGCTGTCCCCAGTTAGAGCACACTGGTGGGAAAAGACAGGGTTTTAAAGTGGATGAAAGTAGATACAAACCAGGCACCCGCCTGCCAAGTCTTTTTGCTGACATAATCCAATTGTTTGGGACTGGGAGTTTCTTCCTCTCTGTTTTCTGAGGAATGTGGTGAGTCAGGGTCTGGCAGGGCAAGGAGAGCTCACCCTGAGCATTGGGCACATTCCCAGCTCCTCCTGGGAGGAGACTCCCCTGGGCCTGGGGGTGACCACGCTGCCACAGAGCCCTGGGGTTGCCTGAGTGCAGGAATTGACCTTCAGAGGGGCCTTGGGAACCTTCAGCCGATCAAGGACAGCTGTTTCTGTGAGCCCTCAGCTCCTAAGTGCCTGCAGGTGAGCTCCCAAACAGACCTGGGAAGCCTGGTGTGTCCCCATGTCCCGGCACCCTGCCCCTGCCAGTGCCAGCCCTGCCTGGCTGAGGCAGCTGAGCAGCCACAGGGAATTCCAGCTGTGGCTTCTGAGCCTGATTTTTCAATTTATGAAGAGATAAACATGTAAAGGAAATTGTTCAGATCCTAAAAAATTAAACAAAATATGTAGCAGCTGAAAATGCATTTCACAATTTGCTGTCACAGTGATTCTTTTTCTCTGCCCCCACTGGTCTCCCTCTGTGTGACTGGGCCTGTGGATGAGTTCCTGCTGCATGTGCTTAGGGCACCTTTAAACTTTGTGAACACAGTAATTTAGTTTAAACTAATGAAGTTAATAGCTCCATGTAAAGATAACAACTAGCTCTATTAGAGTAAGATTTTTCTTTTGAAAAAAGGAATCATTGAAGTAGCTGAAACCAGTGGATTGAGTGTTTTGTATGTCATAAATCATATATATCATATACATATATAATCCAATTGATATTTTTACTTCAGCTTTATCAACAAAGAGTTGGTCACAGATCCTTGGTTTCCTTTGGTGATTCTGTGTGGTAAGGTGATGTTCTAGCAAATATTGCATCCCTGTATTTTGAAAACAGCAGCTACGAAGTGAATATTGATCTCTAGGCCTGGCTATAAGCTGGTGAATGCTTTTTATGCGGAATACTTTCGATATTCCTCGTTAGCTGAGACAAGGGTGTGGCTCTGGAGGCCTCAGCCATGGCAGGGCATGGCAGCAGCAGCAGCAGCAGCCCGAGAGCATCGCTCCCAGAGGCTGTGTGGTGTTTCCCCCCTCACATTCCCAGGCGTAACAGCCTCGGATTCAGATGAAGGACCTCAGCCTGGAAACTGCCTATTCCCCAGGAGACAGATTCTTTGCTCCATCTTCTGGAGCACAAGCTCAGTGTGCTAAACCCCAGGCCAATCTGCCAGGAGCTGTGGGAACCTCTGTGCCCAGTGTTCCCTTGGTCCAGACTGGAATATTTAGAATGTAATCGTGGAGGAAAAGTGAAATGTAAAACCTCTGGGCCCTGTGCTCGTGACTTCTCTGAGATCCTGGTGTAGACCTGCCCTGGAGTCAGTGCCCACAACTGCTGGTGCCAGTGTGAGGGGACCTCAACCCCAGGGAGGGCTCTTCCCCAGCTCTGCTCTAAATCCCCCTCAGCAAAGGGCACGAGCAGGGGCACTTTCTTTCCTAGGGGCTCTCTTTAAGCTCAGCATGGCCAGGAGCCAGGAGCAGGGACACACAGCACTCTGCAGCTCCCCCAGAGCCCTTGGCCGTGGGTCCTACCTGAGTGTGCCCTGGGCAGCTCCAGCTGCCCCTCCTGCCCTGCGCTGAGCCCTCCCTTTCGCCCTGTGGCTCTGGGAAGCTTTGCATCCATAATTCATGGCCCAGGAGTGCTGGGAGCCAGGCAGGCAGCTCGTGTGGGTGGTGGCTCTGTCCCTCCCTGCCTGCGCCGCCTCTGCCGGGCTCCTATCTCACCTCTTCTAGGACACCCTCCTCACACCTGGGCAGGGTTCTGCAGCTCTGGATACCATACCTTTGAAGCTTTTTTCCATTATGTATGTGTTCTGACGTCTATCCATCCCACAAGCACCTGCATAAAAATGATATATAATGGAAAACAAATAAATATTTATGTAAATTGGATTGCTTTGACTACTGAGCAGAATATATTCTTCCATCTAAATTGTACATCAAGGCCCTCATTTAGGGAGGCTCTTAAGCACATCCTCAGCTGTAAGCACACACTCAGCTCCAGCAGGGAGTCTGCATGCCTGGAACTATTCATGTGCTTAAGAGTTTCCCTGGAAGGGAGAGCTCTCTGCAGCAGGGTTACCGAGAACTGCCATCCATCAGGAGATCAGGATAAAAACCATCTGCTGAGACATTCATTACTGGAATGGTGTGAAAGGAGCCTAAAACCTGCCCTTTCAAATCAGAGTCTGCAGGTTGCGGTGCAGCACTCTGTGGCTAATTTTAGGCTTTGTTTTGTTTGTGGAGAGTGTGTTATTTTAACTCACAGCCTTAGACTCTAAGGTGTGTACAATCTTCTTAAATTACCTACTATCACTTTGCTCATGAATTTGCACGGTTCAGATGTTACAACAGTCCCTAAGTGACTGCTGTGCTCTGAGCGCAGCACCAGGAGCAGAGCTGACAGCAAACAATTCTGCCTCGTGCAGCTCCAGAGGAACTTGCTGTTCCTCACAGAAGCTGAGACAGGAGGGAATGGGGACCTTTTCCATTTTTACTCTTGCAAATTGCCCTAGATATCAATCAAAAGGAAAATCTAATGTAAGCCTTTAAATCTTTTTAGCTATAGAGTCTGGTATTTCCTATTGACTGGGACAATCAATACAAATTTAGTTAGTGAGAAATGTCCTTGTGGCTTATGGGATTCCCAGTCAAGTAACTCAGTTACACTGGGAAAAGAGCCTCACAAACAGCGTGTCCCAGAGGTGTCCCAGCTATTTGTCCTTGTGTGTCCTCAGGTCTCTGCAGAAAAGTTGTCATGGCCATGGGCAATGCTGTACCAGCCCCTTTTTCATGACAATTCATTTTTTTTTTTGCTAAATAAGGGAAATGGCTAAACCAGACAATAAATGGGTTTTCTGGCACATCAGAAACAAACCAACCCTTTGCTGTGGTTGTCAGTGCCCATCCCTGAGCACAGGAAAGGGGCTGGTGGCACCTGCCTGGCTCTCTGTGATGGGGCCCTTCTGGCCACCAGTGAACCCCGTCCATTCGAGCACCTTCTGCTTTATTTTGCATCACGAGCCAATTCCCAGACTCACCCTGCTGCAGAGGGCAGGGCAGACAGAGGTTTGGGCAGCTCTGTCCCAGAGCAGGATGAGCTCTGTGCTCTTCCCCTGCTGTGTTCTGCTCGGGCAGAGTCGGAGTGAGGAGCATGGAGCAAATTCATGTCTTGGCCCATAGCCACAGGCCTGGGGCTCCCCAAGGCCATCCCTGGGGATCACACGTCCTCCTCCTGCCAGGGCTGAGCGGATCTCCCAGGGCAGCAGTGTCCAAGCAGCATTTGGGGCTCACCCCACGGAGCAAGGCTGGGAGGGGCAGCTGGGAGCTCCCAGCTGGGGTCCCCAGGAGAGGCAGTGGCAGGGAACAAAGGGGACCCAGGGGGGGTGCACTGCCCTTGGGAGGGCCACACAACCCCACAAAGCCCTTCCCACCCAAAATCCCCTGTCATTCTGCCTTTAGTTTTCTATCTGGTATAATACTGTGGGTTCATGACCCATTTTTTTTGTATTCACTGAGTTCCTCAGGAGGTGAAATGAATAATGGATAAATTATTTTTTAAACTGCAAAAGTAGTTAGTGTGGGAAAGTCCTAAACAGGCTGGGGATCTGGCATTTTAGGAAAATCCAGGTTTAAGTTTGAAGCTAAATTATCTGCTGGGGTGAAATCAGAGTCTCAGCTGGAAATAGTTTTCCACGTCTTTTGGCTTTGAGAAAAGTGAAGTCAGCTGTGGATCAAACTTATAGCCTTTGGTTCTCTGGAATAAATGGAGCTTTGAGTCACTCATGATGTGCTGCAAATCCCATTTTAGTGTCTGCATCCAGGACTGCTGTCAAAAAACCATCACTGATAAACCCAGCTGTGCCTGCAGACACTGTGGCCAATGCTCCAGATAATGAGACAAGAACCTTTCCTGAGCTCAGGTCAGTGGTTTGGGAGTTTCTGACCTGCTTGGGAGGAGAGCTGGAAGCTGGGATCTGCCACTGCCCAGTGCAGACTGGACTAGAGCAAGAGGGATTACTCATAGGGCAAACATTTCCAGTTCTGCAACATGAGACAGAGTAAATGAGACAAGCTATTCCCTGAAACAAGGACCAGGCTGCCTTGGGCAGGCAGTGACACACAGGAAGGTGACAAAGCCGCCTCTTCTTGGCAACAGAGTCCCCAAACTGATGTCTCAAGCCCACATCCATGGGAATTACTTGTGCTCCTCCTCAGACTCCACTGAACACAATCAGCTCTCTGAAAACCTGGAATTTGAAGCTCACAAACAAATGTGCAGCAGTAAAAGTACAGGCTTTGTTCTTGCATTTCCCACTCGGAAAGAATATGAACCTGGCAAACCAAGTCCTGCAAAACAGGTAAAACACCTGCAGTCTGGTGAGATCCACTGCAATTCAGAAAATCCTTATCACTGCAGGTTTTAGGAGATGAGTGTTCAGGTTAATTTTGGTGTGGATATTCTTACAATTTCCTTTCCCCAGCTGTAATTAATTTTTAGGACACCTGCAGTTTCTAACAGGGCTGTCGACATTTCTGGGAGCCTGGTGGTCCTCATCTGCTGGATCCCATCCTTTGGGATCACCAGAGGAGGCTGAGGAATCAGAGGAGAGTTTCCATCCATTCCAAATTTCTCTGCCATTTCTCTTCCATTTCCCTCTCTCTTCTTGGCTCACTCTCACATCTGCTCTCTGTGACAATTCATGGGGTCACAGCAGAGGAGCTGGGCAGTTGTCCACTGCTATTTTTAACTTTTTAACTGAATCCAGCCCTGCCCAAGGCTTGGCTGCTCTTCCAACACATGATTTGGAGTGTCTATGTTATGAAACTACAGCTGATCATGGGATCAGAAGGTGGAACATGTTTTTAACTGTGGTACTTCCATGCTCAATGAAGTATGAAAGTCAAGATTCTCTGTGTGACCTTATTAGACTTTTATTTTATGTTTATAATTAGAAATTGAAGATTGTAACTCTCTTCTGAAATTTTCATGAGAGGAACCTGCAGCTTTTATTGCACAACAGTAACACCAAGAAGTGAAAACTTCTTATTTTCATGTAAAAACTGCCTTGATCTGAGCAAGGACTCAACATTATGAAAGTTAGCAGAAGCAGGCATTAGTTCTGGTACTGAAAAGAAAGGAAAAAAAATCTAATTTTCATCAATTAGTTTGAAAAAAGAAAGAAAAAGGTATCTTGGATGCAAAATGCTATGAGAAAAAACCAAAGTGTTTTGCTGGAGGCCCCTTAGCTAAAGTATTTATCACTTCTAGATCATTCTTGCTGCAGAGGCATTTAGCATCGTTTCTGCTGGTAAAATAAAATGCATGAATGCAGAACAGAGGTGGCACATGGGGAGCTGAGGACAGCACAAGTTCAACACAAATAAAGCAAAGAGTGTGCAAAAAAAGCAGCAAAATGGTAAAAGGAAAATTAACGTGGTTTGAGAAGCACCTGGAAACCCTCACACACAGCCCCCTCCATGTCACATACAGAGAAGCACAACAGTGGTTCTGCAGCTTATTCCACAGAAAACATTGATGGTTTTAAGGATGAAAAGATTTTGCACTGAAGCTTGACAGGTTTGTGATTTTCCTGATGCAGGGAAGAGTTCTCTTTGGGGCAGTGGCAGGATGTGATGCCTGGTGCTGCCCTATGTTCATTCCTTTGCCATGGGAGCTGTGAGATAGTTGATTTTAACAATCCCAAAATACCCCCCCTAATGCTGCACTTTCCCTCCTCCTGCACATTTTCAGTGAGTTGTTACTAATCCCAGAAAGGAAAGGGCAAATGCTTTTGGCCACTGAGGAGCCAAACTCTGAGTGCTCAGATAGGAAAACAAATAGCATCCAAAGCACTAAATCTGGGCAGGATTTGATCTAAGAGCTGCTAAAAACCCTGTTAAAACTCAAGCCAGGGAGAATAAACTCAGAGCAGGCAATTAAACTTCACTCTTGGCTTGGTTGCACTGGCTGGTGGTTCAGAATTGCCACGGAATGATTTACTGGGAGATAATGGAGCATTGCACACCCCAGCTCCCACAGAGGCTCCACACCTTCACCAAGATGCCAGTATTTAGTGCTAAGCTTTATTAAGCATGAAAGAAGAAAAAAAAAAAGAAGCCAAATTTGAATTTTTAATGTCCTGAGTTAGTCCTTAAAAAAACATTTATAGAGTAGATGATAGTGATTCAACAGAGCAACGTTGGATGGGAGACTAAAATGAATATTGACTTTGCTTTCCCAGTCTGTGGTTTGTGGTAAAGGAAACAATTTTTAATTCTCCATCTTTCACTACTGGCAATTCTGATTGCGAAATAAAGATAACACCAATATTCCTCATTATTGTTAATGCCTTTATGAAAGGCTGATTTGGATTTGGAATTGCTCTAAAGTCTACCAAAGTGATTAAAGTGTTTAAAAATTACTGACCTAGTTCATTCAGATAGCTGTAGGGTCTCCAGTCTGCAGTTTCTCTGTCAAGGATTTTGTTACTGAGCTGTTCAAAAAGTATGATAATGGGTTAATACTGGAAGAGACAGACAGTTCCCACCCCAGACTACAGCCCAAGGATGTCAGGAATAAAAATGGGAGGTGATTCCTGCCTTGGCCTCACCATCTCAGCCCTTTATCTGTGTGAGTTGGACAGCTGTTCACTAGCATTAGGGAAAATCACAAAGGAAAGTCACTTCACCAAGCCATGAGCACAAACATGCTGGAAAACACAGGATTTCCTTCAGAACCACGACTCAGATGCCTGTGGACATGGGGTGACACGCTCTAAAATAACCCATGGAGATGGATGGATCAAACCCCCAGACCAGCATGCACAGAGGGGCTGCCTGGAGCTCCGGGATCTGAGACAGCTGTGGGTGCACTCACAGGAGAGGCAGGGGGACACCAGTTCTCTCAGTTCAAGGAAAATAACTTTGGCAATGATGGAGCACAAAGGGCTCCACAGATGAGTGGTCACCAGCTGAATCCTGCAGGGGAGGTCTGGGAATCGCTGTAGGTGCTGAAAGTGCTGAGTTTTCCTCCTCACATTATTCCCTTGAAAGCCACACCTGCTGGAATACAGCTGCTCCTGAGGAAGTGTCAATTCAAGAGCAAATCCCAGCCTTGTTTCTGGAAAGTTATGAAGCCATCACTGCCCTCCTGTGTCAGCTTCCAGACTGGGAAGCCTCCTGCTGTGTTCGCAAGCACTCAGCTCTGCTATTTTGCTGCATTTACAAGAAAATGCTTAACAAAAAGGGGGTTAAAATTGAAAGAGTATTCAAAATTACCACAACATTTCCTTTCTCCTGATCTATCATTCCTTTTTGCTTAGCTTTCTTAATAGGTTTTTAGACCTGGAACAAAACCCCCCACTGATGTACTGAAGCCTATTGGGATATTAAATCCCAGCTGGGGCCCAGCACCTACAGCCACATTCCAAAGGCATTTTCACCCCTCCACAGTCCTTTCCAACAGCTCTCAGTGCTGCTGCCTCCCCACCTTGGGGTACAGCATCTCTGTGCTGTCCCTGTGCCCGCAGTGCTCCCACTGTCCCCGGGCACTGAGGAAGCTCTGCAGGAAGCCTGGAGAGCCCAGGAGTCATTTCTTCATCATCCAGCAGCTCCCTGTGCTTCCCCAAACTGGGAATGGAAACAGAGAGAGCAGAGGCAGGGATGGATGGATGGATATGGATGGATGGATGGATGGATGGATGATGGATAATGGATGGATGGATGGATGGATGATGGATAATGGATGGATGGATGGATGGATGATGGATAATGGATGGATGGATGGATGGATGATGGATAATGGATGGATGGATGGATGGATGATGGATAATGGATGGATGGATGGATGGATGATGGATAATGGATGGATGGATGGATGGATGATGGATAATGGATGGATGGATGGATGGATGATGGATAATGGATGGATGGATGGATGGATGATGGATAATGGATGGATGGATGGATGGATGATGGATAATGGATGGATGGATGGATGGATGATGGATAATGGATGGATGGATGGATGGATGATGGATAATGGATGGATGGATGGATGGATGATGGATAATGGATGGATGGATGGATGGATGATGGATAATGGATGGATGGATGGATGGATGATGGATAATGGATGGATGGATGGATGGATGATGGATAATGGATGGATGGATGGATGGATGATGGATAATGGATGGATGGATGGATGGATGATGGATAATGGATGGATGGATGGATGGATGATGGATAATGGATGGATGGATGGATGGATGATGGATAATGGATGGATGGATGGATGGATGATGGATAATGGATGGATGGATGGATGGATGATGGATGGATGGAAGGACGGACGGACGGATGGATGGATGGATGGATAGAAGGGGCAGTTGGACAGTCCAGCAGTGGCAGGGGGATGAGGAGCAGATGCATTTGGAATGTGGTCACTGGGAGGAATTCAGCCCTTGGCACCATCAGTTCACCTCAGCAGAGTCCACAGCTTCATTCTTCTCTTCAAAACTTGCAGTCAGAACACAAATGCTGATTTTTCAACCCAGCTGTACCATTTAGAGCACATTTATTAAAGTCTTGGGGTTTCTATTAAAAGCTGTGGGTTTGCAGGATTTATAAATCAGCTCACAAACCTAAAGTTTGGCATGAAGAGCTACAGGCTAGAATTGATTTTTTTAATGAAATGATTTGGGGACATTTCTAAGTTTTTCTGAATGCAGTTTTTTCTAAATGTGATTATAGCTGTCTCTTTGTGCTACTATAATTTCTTAGCACTATAATTTGTTAACTTTTTTTTTTTTTTAAGATAGAAAATACTTCAATTTTTACTGTGAAGCAAAACTGCTTTTCTGGAGGAAGAAATCCTTCATAGTAAATTTATCCATTAAAATTCCAGGCTGGTAATTTTAGCAATTTGGTTAAAACTACCTCATATCTGGCAACTTTTCCTTTAAGATCAACACGATACCAGGCTGAGTAAAGCAAAGTCATTATCTGCCTGTCTGAAATAGCTGGATAGATAACAGTGGCCACTTGATCACCACCAGCCATTTGTCAATGTCCAGGTTTTTAAGTCCATGGTGATTAGGCAAAGAAGTGCTGGCTGGAATTCCATCATACCTTTATCCTCCAGGAGAGCAATCAATAATTTGACATTTATTTCCCTAACTACTGACTTCAGATCTCCCTGGTTCAAGCTTGTGCTGCTCAGCTTTAGGTGCCCATCCTGAACGTTCTGCAGTCATTCTGTATTTGCAGTCCTCCTTTTCCTTTTTTAAGGAAGTTTTAGTCAAAGGTACTTAAATGCTGCTTTCTGTAATTCCTTTTTATTAGCTGGTGACATCCAGTCAGACCATTTCCAGTGACCTCTGTTTTGCAGTTTCTAATTTTATGTGAAGTCTTTGGTAGAATTTAGAACTTCCTTTAATAGATGTGAAACTGCTGGCTTTAAAAATTCAGCACATCTAATAGCAATTGATTTTTATGATGTCTGTAGAAACCAACACCTGGACTTTTGCTGCAATGCTGGAAGGGAATGAGGGTGGAATTATGAGCTTTGCAAAAGCTCAAGGTGAGAATCCTCCATTTGCTTGTGTCCAGTGCAGCAGCCTCATCCTTCACACAAAGGATTCTTCACAAACTTTGCATCACTTGGTAAAAGTGAGATTTGTTTTTATTTTGTGCACAATTCAAAAACTCAGCCACAAAGCTGGCAGTGAAGCCCTGAGAGTGGTTCTGTGAGTGGTCCTGCCAAACACCCTCTGATCAAAACAGGTCCTCAACATCTGAAATCTGCTCTGTGGCTCAGCAGTGAGAGCTCTGATGTGAAGACACAGATATGGAGGTATGTAATCTCTATTTTTCTACTTTGGAAATTTTTGGTGTAGTAATTCTGTGGCAAAAGTTCACCTGAGTTCATGTCTGATACTCCTCAGTAACTTGCAGCATCATTACTGGTTGGTGCTGCCCATGTCATGAGAAAAAAGGCCAAACCTACTTGCAGGAGCTCATAAGAAAAGGTCAAGGTTTGGCTTCACTTAAACTCACAGTAAAATATCTCTTGACTCCAATGGTTCCAGCATTTCCCCGGAGCTGCCTTGCCAAGCTCTGTCCCGTGGGAAGAGCAGTTACTTGTGGCAAAGTGCTGGGAGTTAAAAGCCTGCACTGAGATGCTGGAGTCTCCTCCTGACCCTCAGAGCCCAGATCTGTTCTTGGGGACCTTGCAGAGAGATGAAGCTCAGCCCTACAAGCTCCTGGGACGGGACTGGAAGGGCCTGGACCCCACAGTCTGTGTCCAGCTGCCTTTTACTGCAAACACCCAGACACATAAACCTTCAGAGAAAAGATCAAGCTCCATTTTAACAGTAATCAGATTTCTTTGTCCCATTAGTCCTCCTAGGAAGCTATTCCAAAATCTCACTGATCTGATGGTAGAAATCTAATTTCCAGCTTCGATGCATTCATGGCCAGTTCATCCTCATTTGTTCTCGAGCCAGCTCTGTCATCTCACTTAAATAGCTCTCCTCCCTCCTCGTGTTTACTTTGCTGTATTTATAGATGGCAATCATGCTCCCCCTCAGCATTCATTTGCTCAGATAAAAGCAGCCAAGCCTTTTTCCAGTCTTTTCTCATAGGCTCCCCCTTATCCTCCCACTTGTTTTCCTCCTGCCTGTGTTCCAGTCTGTGCTCCACTGGCACAACCACCCAGCCCCGAACACCAGGGAGGGTTTCATGTCTCCACTGGTGCTGTGTCTCAGCAGCTTCAGTGGTTCACCTTCAGGACCTGAGCAGTGGCCAAATGTCTGTCTGGCAGAGTGGGAATGAGGAGGTGAGATCCTTCCCCCTGCTGAAGCCTGGCCCTGCTCCCATCCTGTGCACACAGACCCACATCACAAACTGTCCCCAGTGCAGTGCTGGGCCCTTCAGGTCCTGCTAAAGCCTCACCCACCTCCTTCCCTCCGGAGGTGCCACCCCGGGAGCTGCAGCAGGGTCACACAGCGCTGGGAGCCCCCAGCCAGGGATCCTGGAGATGGGAGGGGGATGGAGAGGAGAGCAGGAAGGAAATAGGAATTATGTGTAGAGTTGGGGGAGAAAAGAGAATAGGAAAAGGAACATGAGAAATAAAAAAGAAAATAGAGTGAGGAGATCACCAAGAAGGGAGGGGAGAAAAGGCAAAAGACACAGAAAGAAAGGAGAGAAGGGCAGGGAAGCACAGGAGAGAAAACTCTCCTAAACCCTCCTCAAACTGGAGCAGGGCTTGCAGCTGTCCTGCCTTTGTGCTTTGCCCAGGCTCTGAGAGAGGAATGGCTCCAGCCCAGCACCTCCAGACCTGATCTGTTGGAGCACAGGGAGGGTAAAACATCCTGGGCTCTGGCTCAGCACTTCAGACATTCCTCTGCCATTTTTTTTCCATTTTGCATCTGTGCTGGTTCCTTTGTGACCCCAGCTGGCACTATAAAGAAATGAATCCTCCAAGTACAACTTGTGCACATTTCTCTTCAGAAAGTGAGAATGGCACCAGGCAAACTGATTTGGAAATGAACTCGTTAAGGCAGCTATTAGGGCTTTATATGCTCCTTTGTCTTACTTGGCTGCAGAGCTGCAGACAGACAAAGTGTATTTTTGGCCATCCTCAGCTATTCAGCACTGCAAAGCGTTCTCATTAATAAGTGAGATGGTGGGAGATCTAAAGGAAATATCAGACCATATATTTTGATAAATACCCTGCAAATATCAGTTCTATTGGTCTTTCAGTGATTATCAGGACAACCTGACTGACTACATTGGCCAGAGCTGCAGCAGGGAGAGCAGCTTCCAGGAGAGTCCCAAAGCACCACTTGGGGATTAAACCTTTCCAGCAGATTAATTTTTGAAGTAGTTCCGTGAGAAGATGGCACTGTAGGCTGGGAATCCAGTATAGGTGCTGGCTTTGACCTTTTCTGAATTCATCTAAATTTCTGCAAAAGGATTAGTGGTCCAGATGGACACTCATCCTAAATTTGACATTATGAGCGTTTGCACTTTCATTTTGGGGAGCAAAAATTCATGATGCAAGAGGACCATCTACATCAAAAAACATATTTGCACATCTGTCTAAACATTTCTCTGAGAAATCTCTGGTGCCAGCCTTTTTATTACATTTTAATGAGATTTTCTTTTAACAACCAAGAAATTACTTACAGGAGCATATGTAGAGATATTTTAGCCTGTCTTATACAATACTGTCTTTTTTGCATTAATCTTGTTCGTATGGCATTCCAGTGAATAGTCACATTTGGATTAAGGTGACACAGCCTGAAATACCATCATTTTTAAAGCTGACAACTTTGATGAAATCAACTGCTTTTCCTTTTTCCCCAGCTCCCTCTGCTTTGCCCCACCTGGGCTTTTTAAAGCTCCAAAGGAGGAGCTGTTTTACCGTTTGCCATATCTAAATTTACTGCTGAAGTGCTGAATTGAGTCACAGTGTTGTTCATGAATGGTCTGAGGGAATCATTTACAACAAATGATAAGGAAGGTGATCCTGGTTGTTCCAGTGATAGGGTTGGAATAGCTCTGCTGGAGAGCCAGGAGTGACAGCAGAGCTCCCAGAATGTCCCTGGATGAGTCAGGACAGTCCCAAAAGCACCCCAGGTACCTTCTTGCATCCTTCTGCTTGTCTGTGTCAGCAGGGAATTTGTGTGTCTGATGTGGGAAACAATGAAACAGCAAAGTGAGATTGCTGATTAATGCTTCATTGATTTACTGGTGTTGTGTTAATGGATAATTATATTTATTGAGTTATTTATCTCTTCTGAGAAGCAAACATAGCTCAGAGTTGCTAAGACACCAAGTCCTGCTGACCCAGAGAGGAATCCAGTTCCCATTCCCAGAGCTTGGGAAGATACAGGGAGGGGAAAGCCAACCTTTCAGTGTCTGGGATGTCAGGAATGCTTCCCTGGAGTTTGAAATAATGCTGGCAGTCAACAGGGCCCGAGAGACATTGCTCTGGTTGATTTCCTTGAACTGATAAGAACATTGCTACAGTGGGGTGGGGTAATATCTACCTTACAGGAGCTGTTTCCATCCAGATTACTGGGAAAGAAGCGTGAAGTCACCCCACATGAGAGAGTGTGGTAGCTTGGATTGGAAAAACAATGAACACTGCTGCTACCTTGGGATATATCTGGGAAGAAAACAAGTCATCACAAAATACTTTGGAGCCACAACAGTTCTTAAGAAGCTGAAAACATCGTAGAGACAATCTAGTTTAGAAATCTTTGTTGGAGTACTGAGTGTTCTAAAACATTTGCAGATGCAATCTATCCTGCATTATGGTGTGAAGCTCTTGACTATTAGCATTAAATATAAGAGAAAAAAAGCAAAATATTTAAATAATACAGTGTTATCTTCTTGAAGATGTTAAAGTAATTCCTGACAGTCCAGCTGCTTTACAGGTGAGGGGAGGGAGCCAAGACTCAGGAAATGCATGGGCTGCAACTCAGCTGTCCCCTTAGTTTCACCTATGGAATTGCCCCTGGGCAGTCTTGAGGTTGAAACAAATGAAACCTTTTTGTTACAAAACCAGGAGTAATGTTAGAAATCAAGGTGCTATAACTGTACCAAGGAGTCCAGAACATTTAGTAAAATGTAAAAACCAGAGTTTTGCATTGTGTGCAAATGCTTTTTAAAAACCAGAGCCGGAACCCTGAGAGGCAAACCCGGGCAGTTCCATTGTATGCTCAGAGACATTTTATCTATTTCCTCAATTTAAGTTATAAACACATCTACCAAGCAGAATAATTTACCAAGAAAGGCATCATATTTATCCTGGCAGTTCTAATGAAAACATCAATCCCAATCTGGTTCCAGCTGCATAACAAATGGATACATATTTCAAAGTACCATCAGGAGAAGGGATGGAAAATTTCAACTGGAGCAGCATCATTTAAACAACGAGGCCCTGTAAGGAGCAAATGCATGGGATTTAATAAAGCATGGGCTCAAACTGCAGGCAGAGAGGTTGGTTGTGGGGAACACCTTCATGTCAAAGGGTAATGAAGGGTTGGGGTGGCTGCTTGAGCCCACGACCACCTTTACTGGAGGCTGGCAGCACTGGGTGAGGAAGGACAAGGACCTGGCTGGCACTGGGGTCCCAGCCACCATCACCTTCCTCTCCCTGCCCTCTGCATTCACCTCACTCTGAACATGCACTTTGCTCTGCTGACATCTTGTGGAGATCTAGACTGAGCTTAATTTACTGCAGAATATCCTGTTTCCAAGAAGTGGGTTTATCTGCAGGGTGTCTCTTACATTAGGGCTGTGGCTCAGGGCTCGGGGAAGCTGCTCCTGCATGTGCAGCTCTGACTGAGCACTTTTCTGCTGAAACATGCAAAGGGATTTTCGAGGTCAGCTCTATTTTGTGTTAAGTGCAGAGCCTTTGAGTCCCAGCTGCTTTCCAGAGCCGCTGCTAACAAATTAGATCAGGATGAGATTCCAGAGCTGAAGTCTTTGCATTGAACATCTGTCAGCCAGGCTGCCGGGGCTCTGCCACCTCCCCCAGCTACAACTCTGTGACATTTACAATCAAACCAACAGGAAACACATCACTCTTGGGGTCTGCCAGTGGGAACTGGGGCTGGAACCCACCCCTCATGTCAGTGTGTGCCCCCCACCAATACAGCTTTGAGCCTGCTCAGGGGTCTTGGCTCAAGGGCCCATCCTCCCTCCCCACAGCCCACGGTCCGAGTTAAACACAGACACTTGGATCTGTGGCTTTCTGCTCTGGAAGTGTTGGTGGAGTCCCCCTTGCCTTATGCACTGGCTGTGGGCAAGGACCAGCTGGAAGGAAGAGCCAGGAGCCTCTGGCTGTGTCACCAATGTCACCGGGAGCCACCTGAGACAACGCGAGTTCTCACCCAGCTCAGCTGCCTGGAGCTTGTTTTCTGCACCCAAAATGAGCTGAAATAAAACTCTGCCAGAGTGCTCTAGTGCTTAGCACAGTGTTGAATTAATGACCCTGAGCTTGTACACATCCCCCAAAATCCTTTTCTTCCCCCCCCTTGCACGCAGCACCCTGAACTCAGAATTACTCCTTCTACACAGTTCCCTTTGGTCGATACTTAAGTAGCCACCCAGGCTGATTTACCTTGATAGCACAGTCCATTTTGTACACATTTATTCATGAAGCTCTTGTAACTGCTGGCTGGAAATACATCAAATTCAAATCTAATGCTATCCCCGTTTAAAAAAACCCAAGGAAAAAAAAAAACCCAACCCACAAAAAAATCTCTCTCTTCCCAAAGATGATAATTTGATTCTGGTCTGAACAGTAAGGAAAGACTTAAATGCCTAAAGGAAAGGGAATTAGGCTGAGCTACTGCTCTGAGCCTGGGCTGTGGGGTGCCACAGAGAGCATCAGTTCCCATCCTGCAGGACAGGATTGTGGAAACTGGGCACCAGCCCAGCCAAGAAAAAGGGAATAAGTGAGCACTCTGCAGTAAATACAAACCCAGACTTCTCAACTGCTAAATGGAACTGCTTCCTTCTCTTTGTGTGGATCTTCTCTGCCCACACAGTGTCAGTGAGACGGCTGAAGGCTCCAAACAGGAGGGTTCACTCTGCCACCTCCCACCAGCCATCATCTGCAGATCATTTCTGGAAGTGTCTTGTCTAGGCTTCAGGATCCACGATGCTTTATTTGTGTCGAGCTTTGCTTAGCTCTTGGCTCTCAGCAGAGGATTCACCCATACCAGAAAGTTTGCTAAGACCTTGATAAGACCTCAAACATCACTTCAGCCCATAGCCAAGTCTTTGTGAAAGTCCCAGTAAGAAATCTCTGCTTCTCTCCAGCACTTCCACACACTTTTCCCTTCTGGCCCCATCTCCTTGAACTAAACAACCTGCACTTTAAAATCTTTTTTGGATGTAGTGCACTGCTGTCATGCTGGGGAGCACCATTTTGATTTTAGGCTTATTTGGGAAAGTTTGCTCTTAGATCTGTGTGTTGAGGATAAGCCCTCCCAGCAAGGGTGGTTTTCTTCTCTGGCTGCTGGGCAAAGTGTGTGTTTTGCTGCCACATCCTTGATCCAAAAATGCAAAAGAGTCCAAGGGCTGCCCAGGGGGTTCCCCTTCCTCATAATCTCTCTCACACACGCACAGATTATCAACCTCACAAGAGCTGAGGACGTAAAGACCAAAAACATTCTCCAGAAATAAATGTGCTGGAAGAAATTGCTGCCTCCAGGAGCTAAGGATCTGTATATGTGAGTCTATTCAGAAATAACACCACCATTGCCCAAATAAGAGTAAACAGGCAAAACAACAACTGGTCATTCAGGAGAGCCATAATGTTACAACCCACAGAGGACAGGATGCTGCAGCCATCCAGGTGGATTTCCTGCCAAAGTACATGGATTTACATGGGATTATATCCATTGGACAAGTACATCTACATGGTATTCTGCCCTTAATCCTCAAGCAAAGCTGCAGGTGAAGGTTGGAATCCCTGTTCCCTCTGTGCAACATTGCTGCTGTCCTTCAGCATCCTCTGTAACACACGTGTGCACACCTGCCCTCAGCCACACAGGTGTTGTCTTGCCAGTTCCTTTTCTGTGAGCTCGTCTCACCTCTCCACTTTCTGCTGAGGAAGGTGCACATCAGCACCTTTTCCTGCCTCTGTGCTCGATGGAAGAGAAGCAGCATTGTCAGGGCCAAAGCTGGGGCAGCTACTCAAAGTCTCACTGGGGGAATGTACTGGAGGACAGTCAGGATTTGGCAGGGAGTTTTCAGAAGCTCTTGTCTAGAATCTGCAAATGCCCTTCTACAAAGGGCAAAACCCAAAACTTGAAACAATGCTGGTACCTGCAGGCAATTTTTAATGAGCTGAAGATGGTGCAGTGTGTTTCTATCTTCTTAATCTTCCTCTGCAAGCTCAGATGGCAGAGTTTTCCAAGGGGAAGGAGGAAGAAAACTGTCCTTGTGACCTCCAGAAAGAGATGCCCGACCTCACTCTGCTGCAGCTTCCTGAGTGATACAATTTGTAGTGCTACAAGGACTGCACAAAGTAAGAGGAAAGAAAAGGCCCAGTCTCTGCATCCCCATCACTGACTGAGATGAACAGGAAAGAACCATTATCCAATTTCTTTCTAGAGATGCCCATGAAACAAACCCCCCCTTCCTGTCTGAGTTTGTGAGGATCTGGCGTTCAGGTTCTTACAAACTTTATGCACAATTTTTACAAACTGACCTGACACAGAGGAGCAATGCCACAAGGGCCAGATCTAAACTCCCAGCCCAAGGACCAAAAGAGATTCCAGGTTCAGTGCAGATGAGGCATGTGATCCCTCAGCTTTTTAGGATGTATCCAGGAATTCAGCATCTTCAAAATACTTTTGTTCCTCATGGACTTAAGTATCATATGGCATCAGGAGCTCTGAGAAAGGTGGCTGCACCTGAGAGGAATGTGATGAACATCTGTTTCTTACCCAATTGGGCAGCTTAAGCAAGAGCAAACAAATTTAAAATTCAAAAATAAGAAGGAATGAAAGGAGATCCATGGTAATTTCTGCCCCAATCTGTAGCTTTCAGAAGCAGGAATCCTCTGCTGAGTGGTCTAGGTATGAATCAATGGTGTTCAGCAGAGAGCCCTTGATGTGGGACACACCCTGGCAGGAAAATGTCCCTGGCACGAGGAGTGAAGTCTCTGTGCCATGAAAAGCCCCGTGATTAAGTTCCAGGTGTTACTATCATTGGCTTAATGGGAGAGGCTCCTTCCAGGCACATCCTTGGCAGAGAAGTCTATAAAAAGCTTCCAGCTGTGCCACCCTGAGACAGCAGAGAAACCAAGGGCCCTTGTACATTTTGAGTAGAGAGCAGAAAGAAAAAGGCACTGCAGGCCCAGAGCTGCTGGGCCAACCTCTGCCTGCCCCAGGGGCTTGTACTTACTTGGACTTGGAGTTTCAGCCATTTAAAATGAAGAGAAGAAGTCAGAGGGTAGTAAACCCTGAGAAGATCCCCACTGAGAGAGTGGAGAAACCAGAGGGAAGTAAAGCCATTTCCTGCCTGGCATCGTACCTGGTATTGGCCAGAGAGGAATGAATAAGAATGACAGCGTTGAAAAGGAGATCACATCCTCCAAAATTTAGACAATCTGTCAAGAAAAGCTGTCCTCCACAGCAGTAGCAGAGGATAGAAAGAAGGAAGAATGCTTTGATTCTGAAGAGTCTTCCTCTTCCTCTCTCCTACTTTCCTCAGCTCTTGGGAAGACAATTCCCACCAGCTGTCTACGTGACAAGGACTGGTCTGCACACAGCAGAGAGTGACAACAAATAGACACCTCCTCAAACAAAAAAAGGCTTCCCAAAGTTTCACAAAGAAAAGCATCTCTGCACCACAACAGGAATACACATGACTCATTCCATGCAGCTTATTTCCTGCCTAGGTATAGCCCATCTCAACTTCCACACAGAAATCAGCTTAAATCAGCTTTATATTTGCTTTCCTGTCCCATTTATGTGTTTCAAGATCACGGTATTCTGAGGAAGAATGGAAGTGTCATTATTTTTGAGGCTCAATAACACATGTTACACATCACAGAAACTTGTATTTCCCCAACAGACAGGAATATGAGTCTGGATTTGATTAACATAAAAAGACCCTTACCAGAAAGTGAGTAATCTGTATTAGTCATCCTCATGGCTGGAGTATAAGATACACTTGGCATGTCATGGCCCTTCTCCTTCTGTTTCCGTCGATACCACACAAAGAGTGCCAGCAAGACCATAATAATTAGAAGGAGAATAATAATTCCAATGATTGCTCCCACTGAGTGCCTCTCTGATCCAAGAGCAGGGCTAATTTTAGTATAGGGGTTTAATTCTTCCATCATAAGAGCCGCTGTTAAAAGTAATTCATAACACATTGTAAATTGAATTGTGCATTTCATTTTTGAAACACTGTTTTTTTTTTAAGGCAAGTACATCATTGGAGAGGGGGAGAGAGAGAAGGAGAAAGGGATTTTATAGAGAGAATTCCACTGTACCTTGATCACATCGGATTCCTTTGAAGCCTGGACTGCAGTAGCAAGTGCCTGTGACGTGGTCACACGTTGCATTGTTCATGCACTCACACAGTTGTTTGCAACCATAACCAAATGTTCCTGGAGAGCACTCTGGGGAGCCAAAGAAAAACATTGGAAAGAGTTCTACTGTTTTTGGGAATGGGCACAACACTTGCCATGGGAAATTCAGTAGAGAAGTCTCTCAGCTTTTAGGATCTCTAGGACAACACCCTAATGTGAAATTATTATCAGTCTAAATCAGAAGCTAAATGTATTCTTTGTGCAGTTTGTTCCTTGTTGTTACTTTCTGGAAAATTCATGGAATGAAATCAATGATAGGTACAAAGGCTTTAGAAGACTTGATGGATATTACAAATGTTCAGAGTTTAACAGAACTTGAGCTCAGAAGCTGTAGACAAGAGCTCAGCATTCTTCACCAACCTACCTGTTTGTTTTTTTCATGGGGGGAGTTGCAAAGGAAAGTTTTAATGAATCTTTTTCTGAACCCAACAGCCTTTACCAAACAAACCCCACATGCTTTCCTACTCATCCCTACCGTTGCCAGGAGGTGAACAGAACATTGCAGGTGGAATTTCAGAACTGGGCATGTGAATGGGTTGATTTGCTCTGCTTTGGTGTCAGGATTCCTAATACTGAAGGAATTTCTATCCTGTCTTTGTGTTTCTATCAAAGACAAAATGATTTAATGTCCAGCTGAGTAATTTATTCATACAATTACCATGATGGGCTATTACAATAAATCTGTAGGCAGCTTACTGTACTTCTGGAAGCACTATTCAAGAATAAATTGAAAGAAACAATGTCTGTCACATCCCACTTATTTCTACGGAGAATCTGCATTACTGAGAACCTGCCCCCTTGCTATGATCCTGTGGAATATATTGTTCCAGATGTGACTCCTTGTGTGTCACTGCAAATGTTTTTCATTGCATGACAACACCTCCACAATATCAGTGTCAAAGTAGATTCTGGTAGCCAAAATTTAATACTAAGTAGAGAACCATATCCAGTATCTGTTTATTGATTTGCAGTGTGTATTAAAATTGTATCTGTTGGTACTCAAACAAAGGAAGAAATAAAATTATTACAATTAATGCTCATTCTTTTATTAGCCTGCAGCCTACTTAAAATGAATAAGGCCTAAATTTTGGGACTGCACCACAGAAATGATGCCTGCAATTAAGCATTTCATCTGCAATGCAGTGTGACTGCCCATTCAGCAGGATTTGGAGAAGGAAGGCGCCTTAATGAAGAGATTCTTATAGATTAAACAGTAGAAAAACAAGTAAATAAATACATTTGTAGTTTGGATAGAGAAGAAAGCCTCAGGCTTTATACAAGGGTCAAATCATAAAGCAGCTCCTTTGTATAAAATGTGCTATTGTGCAGTTCTTTGTGGGATTCTTTAGTTTCCTATTTTGATTGTGGCTGCAGTAAAGGGTGTCCCCAAATTCCAGAAAGTTGGCCACTTACAGAGTTACAGTGGTGCCACATGCAATTCCCATGAACACACAAATATGGCCCTGAGATATTCACTTTACTGAATGCAAGTGTGTGCGAAAACATATTTATGAATTAAGTTCCATGCACAAATACTTCCATAAAGATCCACGTAGCAAGCTACAGCTAAAAAGCCTTCCCTTGCAAATCTGTCAGGAATGTTACTAAATTACCTTACTGCCAAAAAAAGTGAGGGAACCCTGTGGAATTAATGCCTTGGGAAGATGAGGTGGCTTTCACCTGTGTTTAGAATCCCAGTAAGTGTGTGAGAATTTCCTTGTGAATTACTGCACTGGACAAACAGGTAATAATCCACTTACAGCACATCCAGTTTTCAGGACCCTCATTCAGTGTTCTTTAGAGAAGCCATTTGGCACAGCCTGCTAAATATTCCAGTGGGACATGGACAACAATTCCAGTAAGACATTCCAGGTCCCTTGCAAGGGAATTGATGTTCATTGTGAAACTCTCACTGCTCAAGCTAAACACACCCCTTCCCAAAATGGCAAGCAACCTTGTTTCCCTTGATCTGCTTTCACTGTAAAGATGAATCTTTATTTGGTCCATATCTACATCATAATTTCTGTGGGGAAGCCCCATATCCCCAATATTCTTTGGAAGGCAGAGAGCAGAAAAGACTAATTCTTTTTAACCCTTCTGTCTCCAAGAATTGGGAAATGTGGGGCTGCTGCTCTCAGCAGCATTGACAAGGCCTGAGGCAGCTTTGGGGCTGGGTGTGCATTAATCAGGTACAAGCTCTTTGGGAAGGCCCCATCCAGTCAGCACTGAGTGCAGTGATTTGCCTTCTCTCACCTCACTTTAGCCTGGGAATGAAAGGCACAATTTTTAGGGATCCATTGAATTTCTTTATGCTTAGACTGCCCAGTTTCCCAGAGGTGCCCTCTCCTCCCTATGGATTATATAAGGTACCTGGGGTCATTGTCCTGCTGACATCAACACCTCATGTAAGAGCCTGTGTGTGCAGGAATTCTGAAACACACTCCCCTCTCTGGAGAAAGAGAGGACTGAGGTCACTGGTACTCACTCTGCTCACACTGTTTGCCTGTAAATCCTGTTCTGCACGTGCACTGCCCAGTGATGTGGTCACAGTCGGCTCCGTTCTGGCACTGGCAAACATTGGCACAGTTCTTTCCATAAAAAGCAGCTGGGCAACCTTTCAGCAATCAGAACAAGGAAAGAGTAAAAAAATAAGCTGAAAGCCAGACTCAGATGTGTTATCAGCACAAAGTATGTGGGCTTATAAATATATGGATTTTCAGCCTCTGTATATTTAATGACATTTATTTGATGGTCTAAATGCAGAGATACTGTGACAGCCAATTTTCTTGAAGTAATGTTTCTCATCTTTACAGAATTGCCTCTTAAGTGTTTCAGAAGAATGAAAACTTGACCCATCTATACAAACTAAATTTTCAAGAAGTGAAAGAAGATGCTAAACAGAAATGCTCTGGAAGACCAGGGATCAATCAATTACTTGCAAGTGAAAGAACCTTCTTAAAAGGCTCACCAGAATTGGATCTCCTCTTTCATACTGGTAATTTGGCACTAGGGTGAGAAATCTCTAACACTTTCCTAAATCAGACCACAAATACTGAGGCATTAACAAGCAGGGACACAGACTGTGCAAATTCTAACAATGAATCAATAATCTAAATGATTTCCCCCTCCTTTACCGAGTGCCAAAGGCATAAAAAACCTTGGAAAGCTTCAGGACTATTTTCTTCGGGGTGATGTGAGGTTATCAGGAGCAAGGAGCATGGGATTTTCCAGGGGAAAGTGCAATACTTGGAAGAGACACGAGGTAGCAGCACACACTTTGACAGATTCCCTGTCTCTGAAAGGCTTACGCTGAGTGCAGTAGAGCCCCGTCCAACCATGGGTACATCTACATTCTCCATCGTAGGGGCTGCACAGTGCTCCGTTGTGGCAGTTGCATGAATGAAAGCAATCAGGGCCCCAAAACCCAGTGGGACAAGCTATGAAAATAAAAAACATTTGTCAGCTGACAAAAAAGAAAGCAATGATACTGAGTTAGTGCTGTGGAGGAGCAACAATAAAGGGAGAACCTGTGAGACACCAGCAAGGGCAGAACCTTGCCCTGCTGAGCTTGGCAGTGACTCCTGGACAGTGAGCAGTTCTTCCTGCACAGTGGCCGGTCCTTCCAAGCCACCAATTGCTCTCCAAACCCTGGTGCCACCCTGTAACCTCCCCCTGGCACTGGGATTTCTCCCAGCAGATCAATAGAGGGGATTCTGCCTGAGACCCCACCTGCAGAGCTGCCTCCAGCCTGGAGGAACAACAGCAGAAGGATTTGGAGCTGCTGGAGCAGGTCCAGAGGAAGCCATGGAGATGCTACAAAGGCTGGAGCTCCTCTGCTCTGGAGCCAGGCTGGGAATGTTCACCTGGAGAAGGAAAGGCTCCAGGGAGAGCTCAGAGCCCCTTGCAGGGCTTAAAGAGGCTCCAGGAGAGCTGGGGAGAACTTGGGGCAAGGAATGGAGAGACAGGACACAGGGAACGATTTCCTGCTGCTAGAGGGCAGGGTTAGATGGGATATTGGGAAGAAATTCCTTCCCTGAGAGGGTGGGCAGGCCCTGGCACAGGGTGCTCAGAGAAGCTGTGGCTGTCCCTGGATCCCTGGCAGTGTCCAAGGCCAGGCTGGACAATGGGGCTTGGAGCAGCCTGGGACAGTGGGAGGTGTCCCTGCCCATGGCAGGGGTGGAAGAGGATGGGCTTCAAGGTCCCTTCCAACCCAAAGCATTCCAGGATTGTTCCATTCCATGATCCTCTGTGCAGGGCAGGGGGCAGGATCAGCTCTTTGCTGCAGTGAACCAGTGACCCTCGACACGACCCCGCTCTGGGCTGTGGCTGCTCTCCCTGCCTCAGTGGCATTATCTGTGAGGACAAGTTAGGCAGGGCTGCAGGATGTGGAGGTAATTTAATTTTCTTTTTGACATGCTGGAATTCTTGCATAATAAAGCCCAGCTATTCAGGTTTACTTTGCTATGCAATCAACCACTAAAATTACCACATTCATTTGAAGCATAGAGTGCTACTCCAATCATGTAAAAATGTAAAGAAAACTTCTTCCAGTATGAATTCCCATCCACAAATTCAGATTGCTTTTGTTGTTGGGGGCTAATATTAAATTAAAATCTCCGGGTCTGTTTTATATTTCAACAAGTACAATATTAATACATTAAAAAAAAAAGTTATTTTAAGCCTCCCTCCAAAAATGAATGCAGTAAGTTACAGTTATTAGTGCCAGACTAAAAGATCCAAAATTATGATAGCCCTTCAATATAACAACTATATTTTTGCTTTAAAAAGCACTTTTCATTGCTTCCTGCTAAAGACATGAATTAATAAGGCACGGTTCCCAGGAAACCTGAAAATACAGACACCAGGCCTATTTCCATGGATGCCAATGGCTCTGTGGATGATAAATGGAAGTTTCTGGCATTTGACAGACACCTCTAAAGCCAGATTGAATGGCCAAAAAAACCCTGCCATGACGTAAATCAAAGAAAAGGTCACTGGACTCACACAACGTAAAGCTGAGCAGGATTTGGCCTGAAGTGTTTGTGCTATAAGCAACCAGAAATACTTTTCCACTGCCTTTCTAAGGCAGAGCTGCAGGAGCTGTTAGTGAATCCAGAACTGGCTCTGGAGTCAGAGCTAAAATTATCTCCAAGTCCAGGTCATTCCAGGTTAAGGGAGAGCAAGGCCAGAAATAGCCCAGGATGGGAGGTCAGGTGCCCAGGGGAGCCTGCAGTGGGACAGGGTCACCCTGGGAGAGGTTCCCTTTGTGTGCAAGGAGTAACTGAGCAAAGAACCTCACCCTCCTCTGCTCATCCAGAGCACAGAGCGCCCACAGGCAGCTCCTGCCTCCTAAACCAGCCCTGCTGGCCTGGCCTGCCTCGCTCTGTAAGGAAAAGCATCTCTTTTCAAGGTTAACACACATTTCCCAATTAGATGGTTAAATGTAATGAGGAATATGTGCAGCTTTCTGTCTTTTTTTTTTCCTTTTCTTTTTTCCTGCTGTTTTTGACTGACAGCAATATTCTGCCTGTGGAAGACACACAATAAAAGCAAAATTACAGCTGTCTGTTTTTATCCGATTCCTGCTTTATCACTTGGAGTTTAATATATTTTACTCTGGAATGCTGTCTAATATGCTAGTTGTATCCTGAATATGAAGTAACATTTCTGAATGATCGGATATTGCCTCCCTCTGTGATCCAGCTTCAATTAAGGGATGCTCTCAGGAAATGACACTTTGGGATCAGCAAATGCCAATCTTCTACCTGGGCAATTTTCAGAAAGAAATCCTTCATCCCTACAAGGCCACATTGACTTTTACAATTAAATTACATTTAATAGAAATATTTCAGCTGCCTAATTTCTCAATTCTAGGGATTTGGTACATGAAAACATTTACTGGTTAATAATGTCTAAATGTAATAGCTGAAAGAAAATGATTTAAAAAAAAATAAATAAAAAGGAATCCAGCTAGAAATTAAAAAGGAGCATGGAGCTTTCTTTTCTGATAAGAGCTTGTGACCTCCCTTTCCTGGAATAAAAGCCAGTCACAGCTTCTGCAAACTCCAAATGCAGAAACTAATTCAATACAAAGCTAACTTAGATTAATTAAAAGAAATCAGCTTTAAAGAGAGTAAGGCATTGGCTGTAATACAACAGGGATTTCCCCAGAATCTGTCTCTAACTTTCAGAAAGCACCAAACAAACACAAAAATACGATATTTGAAGGCAGAGGTGGGAAAATGGCCCTTTACTTACTCTGGGAGCAGTCCATCCCTATCCAGCCCGGGAAGCACTGGCACGATCCATCAATGGGATTGCAGGTCCCGTTCTCGGTGCACTGGCAAACCTCGGCACAGCCCTTCCCAAACTTCCCACTGGGACACACTGAAAACACAAGGCACTTTATTGCAGGCTCTTCAAAAGGAATGTGAGGAAATCACAGGACTCGACACTTAGCAATTAGAGATAAAATTAATTACAACGTTTTTTTCCTCTGATGAAACAAAATTCCTCTGGAAAGCAGGAAAAGGCAGAAAGTAATCGAGCCCATTTTGCTTGCATCCCAGGAGTAAAAACAATAGGAAAAAGTCATATCAAAATCCATTTTTCTGCTGGAAAATGAGGCCAACATAGTCAGAAGATTGCAATTATTGAAGGGCAGTATGGAAGGATGACAAGAGGAGAGAAAAAACAGAGAAGAGGGGTAATTAGGAGAGGAAGAGAACAAGAAAAATTGAGGAGAATTAAGTGAGTAGCAGCCACAAGTGAGTGGCTGGGACTGCTCTGGTTTCCAAGGATTTTATATATATATACACACACACATATATATATATAGATACACACATATATATTTATGTATGTTATATATCTGTTTGACTGAGAGCTATTTAACAGATGTGCTGCACCCCAACAAAATCAGCACCTCTCCCTGTGTGCCCACCTAAGTGAAGCTGGAAGAAAAGAAACTCTTAAATTTTTTTCCAGAGTCATCTTCTCACATCCTAAGCACAGTGACAGGAAACTAATAGACATGTAGATCTTCAACCTCCCACCAAATTATTGGAAATCTTTAACGTTAAAGTTGATGGAAAGCCCTGCTTAGTAATGAATGAAATGTTTCATTTCTGGGCTCTTATTGGCTGTGTTCCCTGACAAAAACAGATGTATTTTCAAAACAAGATAAAACATACAGTCCATCTTTGCAAAGAGAGTAACAAATGGAACTGGACTTGTATCCTGGTAAATAATAGCGATGTCAAAAAAGTGATTAAGGCACTTGCCTGAATTATGCAGCTGTTTTACCACTTCAGCCTCTCTCACTTTCTCAAAAGTAGTCTCTGCAGGTGACCTCAATCTATCCTGACTGTGAATCAGCCACAGATTGAAATCCTGAGCTGTGATTCATTGGCTTTTATATAATATGCCATCCTCTGCTCTTACTACAGCAGAGTATTGTTTTCTGCTTGTGTTTCTATAGGACTTATCTGTAGGAGTGGATAAAGTTGGGTTTGGCTTTCACACTGTGTGCTAAACAGAACAGTTCCTAAGTGAAAAGAGATAAAACTAAACACAATACACAGCAGCCACGATGGAGGGCATGCAGGGAGAGAGGGAGAAGGAAAGCAGAGCTCTGCTATCACAGACAGCAAAACCTGAACTGATCTGTCAGCCCAGGCTCTTGGACAAGCCACACCATTATTCCCTTCCAGCTCCTGTTTTATGTTTTTTTTTTCCCTACCAGGCACTGTTTTATGGCATCTTTGAGATGGAGGGTGGTGCTTTGGCAGCACCACCTCGCTGAAGGCTGGGGTTTGTATGTACAAAAACCATAATTCTCAAAGGACTTCCTTAGAAGAGGAGCTGGTTTGTTCTGCACCATGGAATACTGATGGATCAGGGCAAGATCTGTGATCCAAACAGAGCTGCTGGCAAAGGGATCAGGTCACACTTTGGTGCTTTTGTGCACACAGGCAGAGCTGGCAGAGGGGTTCCCTCCACAGGAGCTCCTCTTGTCTCTGGGAAATGGGATGATGCCCTCTGGAATGTCAGCACAGAGGAATGATGAAATGGTTGTTCTCCCTAATTTAAACAACCTGGTTGTGGACTGACAGAGTGACTCTTATGAATATGTGAGATCCAAATTCAAGCACTTTTTAAATGTCTCAATCATTTTTAGAGAGCTGTAAAACAAGGCCTAATGCTGCTTTCTTCAGCAGCAACGTGACTGTACAACACAGATTGGGATGTTAATTAGCTCAAAAAGCTCTGAAGTGGGACTCCCAAAGTCCCTGTGGGATGTCAGGTGTGTTCTAGCAGTGATAACAAGTTATTATCAACCCATCTTGCTCCATGATTGTGAAAGATATTCATAAAACAGCTGTTTAGCTGTTTGCAGCTCTGAATCCTTGGCACAACTGAGTCAACCTGTGCAGTTTTGGGGGTTACACAGCTCCTCACATGCACATACTGCTGGTGGAAGAAAGTTCCTGCTGCCAGTGGCACAAGGAGATAAAAATGCCAAAGTGAAATCTTCATTTCATGTTTTTCTAATGGAAAATTAATTAGCATTTTTCTTTCTACAAAATAAAGTTACATGTTAACTCATTATGACAAACTGCAACACAAATTGATTTTAATTAGGACATGAATATTTTAAGATTAATTTGCTGGATAGATCAACATTTCAAAGTAAAACCAGAAGTGCTGAACATCTGAGCAAAAAATAAAATAGTTTTCTTAAGAGGATAATTAGACCTGCTTATGCTTTGAAATCTGGCTAACGTTTCACATAAAATGGACAAATTCACTGAAATACGTTCATTTTAATAAATTAATTGGTGTAATGTTTAGTTGACTATACAGCACAGGAAAAAAAACCCAAAAAAACATGGTTATACTTAATCTATGTTTAATGATTTTGGGTAACTGCTCCCTGCAGTCCCAACTTACTGCAAAGCAGGTCATTGAAAGTGTCATTCAATTTTGGCAGGGATGGTGACTTCACAGGGGTAGTGGCCACTACAAATCACTTCTTTTAAATATCTGTGTAGAAACCTCCACTGCAGTACGCAGCAACTGAGAGTGCTGAGTGATTTTGTGGGTATTTTTAGGATGAAAATGAAACCTGGATTTAAATATGGAACTTTCAAAGGTACAGAAAGGTGATGGGTGTTTGGGGGAGCTGAAGTTCCTCTTCACCTGTGAAAATGAACCCACTTCTCTGCCTCACTGTAAATTTCCTGTCTCCTGCACTTGTGTCCATGGTTTTAGCTATTCCCAGCCAGGTCCTGCATGGTGTAAATGGGGTTTTGTGCACAACTGGGTGCTTGGGATTGTTCACCTGAGCTGGCCTTTACCTGAACCGGTACCTCCCCATCCTGCTGCAAAGATCACATGAAGGTGCTGTCAACATTCAGGTGAGGAGCAAGAAGAATGAAGCCATTGGATGCTGATGTATTTACAGCAGGTGTCCCATTCCACAGTCATTTCAATCCAGTGTAGCAGACCTGGTTTATTTATGAAACCAGAAGCACATCGTATTTACAAGAGGGTGAATGAGTACCTGCTAGCCTTTTCCCTCTGAAATAAAGATTTCCTTGGGATCTAAACTGCTGAAACAAGGGAAAAAAGCAGGAACCATGGGATGGGACTCACTGCAGAGGCACAGACACTCAGGAAGGGAGGTGGCACTGGGGTGGTACCTTGGTTGCAGAGAGGGCCGGAGAAGCCTGGCAGGCAGTCGCAGTGTCCGGACACGTGGTGACAGGGACCGCTGCTGTGCACGCACTGGGGACACGGCTGGCTGCAGTGGTGGCCATAAAACCCAGGGGGGCAAACTGAAAACAGAACAAACCAAGCAGTCACAGGTTTTCCAACGTTTTCTCATCACTGAGAGCTCAATAATTCTCTGTCTGTCTTAATCCCAAACCAATATTTCTTAATTTATCAACCACAATTTTGCACACAGCTGAAATGATGAGGCCAGTTGGATTGTTCCATGTCTAATAAAGTGCAGGCTCTGGGTAAAACTGATCCTGTGTTCAAACATTCCCACCTTTCTTCCTCATGGAAGTGCTTGGCTATTTAATACCACAGCAGAGTTCTCAGCAGCCTCTCTCTCTCAGGACACTCATTTGAGTCTCTCTAACCTGAAATCTTTCATAAAACAGGAGTTTAAGATGTTCCAGACCTCACAGCCTACTGCAGATATGGTTGATAACACATTCCAAAGACTTTAGGGTAGATAGGAAAAGAAACACTGGCACATGGGTACAGACAACAGAAACTCAGAAGGAAATGGAAATTGAGTCAAGAAATCAGAGAAGGTATATTAGGAATCAATATTTTATGTCAAAACAACTATGCCAAAAGCTGTGTGGTGCCTGTGCTAAGCTGGGGCAGTCATTTACACATTTCATGGCAGGAGCAACAGCCATCAAGTGATGAACAGAATCTATTAATGAGAATTATATATCACCATAGAAAATCACCTGGCTTGCATCAGTAATCACACCAGATAGCTGAGTAAACTTGCCATGACTTATGTACTTGTTTTGCCTAAAACCTGGATTGAAATTATTACAGAGTTTGTACATCAGGTTTAGAGTCAGGATTACAGCTCAGTAGCTCTTTTAAAAGCAGATTTTTGCTTCGTAGAGTATGTAGAGTGAAAAAACATCCACTGTCTAAACATTCACTGCAATAGGTAACACAAAGAAATGTTAAATTGAAGTAAGTGACAGTAAAAATAACTTTATATGTTTTTATTTTTACTCCTGTGATTCTCTCTTCTATAGTTCTGGCTCAGTGGTTACTAAATCATGTCTGTTCTATTTTTCCAGCAAATGAGAATTTTCTCTTGGACTGTATGTTCTCAGAGGATGTCAGGCTCTTACCCCACTGCACATTTCCAGCTGGAGCTTAGCTGACAGGTTGGTTGATGATGCAGTAGCTATAAAACAACCTGGATCATTCCTGGAGACATTTCTGCAGTCTTAAGAGCACTAAAGCATCCCAGTGTCTCATGTAATCCTGATTACACAGACAGAACAAGTTGGCTGAGTATCACCTTCAGTATCATCTTCAGCTCTGCCTTGTACAGCCTAAATTCTGTTTCTAAATAAATTTCTAAGAGAAAAATGTGGATGATTTTGAGAACAAGCTTAGCAAGGTCTCCTGTTCACCAGGTATTCTTGAGCCTGAATCCCAGAAAAGAGGTGGAAGTAAGCTGGATTGCCAGGCCTCACAGAGGCAAGAGTGGGAGCATCCACAGGATCCCTCTGTGATCACCCCAGTGGGGAGGAAAATTTCTCCCCATTAGATCCTCAGCAAACATCCTCAGGGAGCAGCCTGATTCCCTGCCTTGCAAACTGGCCACAAGGTTTGCTCTTGTAGCCTGCATGCCAACAGCTGATAGAACTAAGCTGGGTTTTTTTCATCTCAGAAAGGTCAGAAACTATTAACTTCTGGAAGTTTTGCACTCTTCAGGTTTTCAAATTTGTAAAACATTTTCTTCCTCATCTCCCTGAAGCTCTGAGCACCACATTTCAGCCTTGGAGAGAGGTTTTACAGCTACACAGATATGCTGAAGCACCTGGAAATTGGGGTTTATAATGGAAATGCTTATAGACCATTAACTACAGCAGTGCTAGAGGTCATTGTTATAATGGCTTTAAATAAAAACTGTCAGCTGCAAATTATTTTTAGAGATGAGTGTGTTCTAATGTCAAGTGTAACTGGTGAAATCAAAGGGGATATATGAACTGGGCATGCAGAATGTCGAGGAGGAAGAAGAGGAAGAAGAGGAGGACGAAGAGGAAGAAGAAGAACAAAGAAGAAATGCTGACCAAGAAAGACAAATCCACTTCTTGTTTACATGGGAGGATGGTTGGTGTAGTTTGGATCAGTGAATTGGGGTCCCTATGGGGCAAATGCAGCTTCCCAGATAAAGCAGATGAGAAGATTTTTATCTGCTTGGTACATTTTAATATGTAGCAGCAGAGCATCAAACAGGAGTTATTTTGGGCAGCTGTGTTTCTTTTTCTGGTATATAAGAAAACATTGAGTTGTTATTTTGATGCCAACGCTCATCCACTTGTCATTATGTGAAGGGTGGTGGCTGACTCTGTTTAATAGATCTGACTTCACTGAAAACCTGTGTCCTGCCAGCTTTGGTTTGTAAAGGTGCTGCTCCTCCTTGCAGGTCACCTGTGACCTCCAGGTGCAGATCAGAAGAAGAAACACGAGGCACAGCTCTGTGCAGGAGAGCCTTGACTTCTTGATGAAGTTGCATTTTCGGGCTTTTTTACCCTTAGGAAGTCACGGGTTAAAGCAGCTCAGAAACTGTGGTTTTGTCTGTCTGGCGTCATAAAAGAGCATTTCTATCTGCCTTGCCTCTACCAGCTATGGAAAATCTTACTTCTCTGGCACAAGGGTCCTCTGTATCCCGGTGCACAGTCACAGGTTCCATCCTCAGGGGAGCAGGATCCCCCATTCTCACAGCTGCAGGAGATGGAGCAGTTGGGTCCCCAGCGGCCCTGGGTGCAGATGTTGTCACAGTGGATGCCTAAGGATAAATAAATATATAAGGATAGAAAAGATATAAGGTATAGAAGGGTAAATAAAGCCACACATTAGGCTTCCCACAACTTTTACTCCGCTCGGTGATCAAAGAAATGCTTGGCTGGACTGATGCCTCACAGTCCATCAGAGCCAGTGAGGGAGTCTGGGAAGGAAACAGCTCCTCTTTTATCTGCTTAATAAAGTGAAAATTAAGAAAATGCCAGAGAGGTGAATTCTGTGTTAGTGGGCGCCTGTTCAGTCCTCAGCACCATTAAAGAAACTCTGCATGTCATCCAAGAGATGAAGGTCAGGAATTGCTTTAAAGTCACAAAATAGCTCAAATAACTGTCTGGAAATAGACAGTTGATTGAAGCCTGATTACTTACCTGTTGTGAATTGGAAGACCATAAAAAGAAAAATCAGGATTTTGCACAACCATGTTCAATATTTGGATTATTGAACACAAGTAAATTCAGCTCTGTTTTGTGTTCTGTTTCCTCTCTGTGCTCTGGTGTTTTGTGCATATACCCCACATCCAGCCAGAGCTGCCCAGATGTGTGTGAATGAACTGAGTTGTGATCCAGCAAGTGGCCACAGGTGAGCACAGACCGAGCATTTGCATGTTAGACAGAGACTGAGACCTGCCAATCCAGCTCCCAGTGCTTCCAGGGTGCTGGTTTGATATTTACTATTATGAAGGGCAAAGCTTGGAAATACTGAAAGGAGCACACAGCCAGAAAACTTAACAGGAGGCTTCTGGCATAGTTTCAACTGGTTTTGTTTAAAGTGGTGACTTTTAAAAACAGCCTTGTGCCATGGCTTGTCACATCTAAGCGTGATTGAAGGAGCTGATACTGCACACTGAGAGGCTCTCACTCCACTGGGATAAGGCAGTACCAATACCTGCAGTTAGCAGGGTTATTTGTATGATCAAGGCTCCTTGGATGGGTTTGCAGGATCATGAACTAAGAGGGACATTGAGCAGTGCCAGCTGCAAGGAGTGGCACTGGCAGGAGCACTGATAACAGCAGCAAAAATGGATCAGAAACTGGCCTGGAAATGCTCCTAAGAACACAACCCCAGCACCAGCATGGCCCCGAGATCAGGGGTAACACACCCCAGCTGGGCTTCAACCCCACCCTGAAATGTTCTTCACCATCCCCAAACTGAGATGTTCTTCACCATCCCCAAACTGAGATGTTCTTACCATCCCCAGCCTAAGATGTTTTTACCATCCCCACCCTGAGATGTTTTACCATCCCCAACCTGAGATGTTCTTTATCACCCATGCACACGTCCCACTGCACAATGGGATCAAGGCAGCCCAGGGGCTGGATTAGCACAGAAACACAATCCCAGTAATTTCCTCCCACTCTGATAACTTCATCTGGATGCTAGAGGTAATGCACTGCATTTGGGGAGCTGTGATCTGTATGGTCACCAAACTTTGAGGATTATTAAATCAGCTAAAAGTCATTATAAACACACTTACAGTGCAGTTTCAAGTTGGTTTTATAAATTTCTGAAGTTAACACAGTAAGAAATACTGCAGAGCCAAAATTTCCCTTTTCTGAAGATTAATCACACAATTATAATGTCCCTTCCTAGAAAATCTTAACCAAGTCTGGCAAAAGTACAGTTTGAAATCTGATTTCTAGTAATGCATGATCTTAGCTTATTTATAAAGAGGCATGGACTATTCTGTACAGCTTAATAAAAACCACATTAAAATACAGTAAAAACTTAACTCAAGCTCAATTCCTTCATATCAAGTAAATAAATCTGAAAAAAGGGACTGTGAAAAGAGACAAGGAACATTTGTATTAATAAAATCAAGAAAAACAATTATTTTAGAGTCTTCCCTGCTCCCTGTGAAATTAAATATATCCTTGGATTACTTAAACAAGTGCTTTGCATGTGCATTTATGTATTGTATCCACAGTTCTCTGTAATTAAAAAGTCAGACAATAAATTGGAAATAAATAAATGTGTTTTGTATTTATAAATACATATATATGATCATTTATAGCCTTGGGTCTCAGCGTGAGCTTCCTGAAGTGAAATTCAGACACAAACACAGAGAAAGGTGCGTTTTTCCTCCTGATTGCAGCATTAAAATTACAAATCTGTCATTGTGGATGGGCTATTTATAAACAGGGACAATTAAACTGCATTATTTTGTCTTTTTTGACAAAGTTTGGGGAAGAATGACGCTGACTCTTTTCTTGTGGAATTAGAATGCCAGGGCTGTTCCTTGCAGCAGCAAAGTCCTTCCTTTGGTAATGAGTAATGAAGGATGTCTTCCCTCTCCTAACGAAGGCAATGAGTCACTGTGGAGCTGATTGTTGTAGCAAAATGGAAAAGGGGAAAAGGAAACTTTCCAGAAGCCACTGCCACTCGTTACAGCCCTTATTTATTTATACATTTCCAGAAGACAATCGAGATGGTGCCACAATCAGGTTTTATTGCTTTTTATTACTCTAAGTTAATTCTCATGGAAGACTTCATTTTTGAAGGCTCCTACACACATTGAATTGCAAATATAAATGAGAAGTTAAAATTGCATCTGGACATGCAAGTCTTATGGAATTGTGCTGGAAAAAGCACCTTAATTTTACAATTCCCTAACCTGACAGCATGTAAAGGGAGAGTCCATCCCTCCCAGCTACTTTATAGTCAGAGTCAGTGAAGCAGCAAGATTCTGTAATGTAAAACTTTAATATTTATTTAGGAACTTGCTGATGAACATTTCTGATAAGTAATTAGTTTTCAATTTCCAGAACTACAAAAACTGCTGAAGTTGACACACCTCTGTATTACCTCGTGTTACAACCACAGATTCCTAATTTATGAACAAAGTCCTGGTTTCACATGAATTGTGTAGAAATTAGAAAGACAACTATCAGAAGTCCTTGAAGCTGCAGGAAGCAGTTCTATACATAAACTCTACTGCCTGGATACCAGGGAATTATCTGCCAGCCTGAGGCTGTGGTTCACAATTCCAGACACTGGTATAAAATTACACTTCCAAGACCTTTTTAAACAATGTTCTGGGGGATGAATTGTAAATGAAATCCCCATAACTTATATAAATTATATTAAACTGTAGTTATCCACTGGACATGGGCAAGAAATCTGCACTTTTGCTGTAAGGCAGAGCCCAGGTAAGAGCAGAGCCCACTGTGGCTTTAATTCAGTGAAACAGCAGCCAAAGTCTCCATGGCCCAGCAGGGATTTGGGATATTGGATTTCTGAAACACTGGCTATTCTCCAGTGGGATTCCCTTTGGGCTGCTCTGTACATGGCATTTAGCTGACAGTCCCAGGAGTGGCTTCACTCCCCTTTCCCCACACCAACCTCCTCTGCACACAGCGTGGGGAGGAAAAGCAGCCCTAAGGGCCTGAATTACTGTGGCAAACAAACTGGGCTGAACTGAGCCCAGCACAGCAGGCACAACTGCAATGTTCTGAGGGAGAGCCACACAGGAGAGCTGCTCCAAACTCCTGCCCCTCCAGGACAGTTTCCTACCCTCTGGCCAAGCAGCTGCTGTCTGGGACGTGGGGAGTAACCAGACTTCCCAAGGGTGAAGCCATTTGGTTGGGCAGGGATCTTCCAATGTGGAGCTGCAGATAATCCTGATAAAGGAAAGCAGCAGGGAGACAGGTAGAGGAGGAAGAGAATCCCAGAATTCCAGAGTGGTTTGGGTGGGGAAGGGATCTTAAAGATCATCCAGACCCATCCCCTGCTATGGGCAGGGACACCTTCCCCTATCCCAGGGTGCTGCAAGCCCCATCCAGCCTGGCCTTCGACACTCCCAGGGATCCAGGGACAGCCCCAGCTTCTCTGTGCCAGGGCCTTCCCACCCTCATAGGGAACAATTCCTTCCCAATATCCCCTCTAACCCTGCCCTCTGGCAGTGGGAAGCTGTTGATAGAAACCTGTGTCTGTCTTACATGGAACTTCAAGTTTGACCAGATGAAGTCAGCCCTTGTATTCAAATTTACAAATCAAGCTGTGATGGATTAATCCAACATCCATACAAGCATCAGGAAAAGAAGCAAGAAAAAGAAGAGGAAAAAAAAACCCCAGGCCATACAAGTGGGATGTGAGGCATCTATTGAACAGCTCCTTCACAAGCTGCTTTCATTAATAATCTTCAGTGGCTGCAAGAAAGTTTGTCAAAGTAATGCAGATTTAGTGCTGCCCATAACTACATCACACTGAAGGACTTTGGAGGGTAAAATTCCTGAAAGCCAGACATAAGCAGAATTCCCTTTCTTCCCCCTCCAGCTTCTGCAATTGCACTTGTGCTTGGGGATTACGTCTCTGGTTCTTAATAAAGATGCCATTGTTTCTCTGCTGTGTCTCTGGATAGTTGGAAACTAATACTCCAAACACAATAGAAGAGCAAAAATGGATGGAATAAATGAGAAGCAGTGGTCTGTTTCTGACCACTGCTATCCCCCTGACAGCAGCCTCTGCAGCAGTGCCTGAACACTGCCCAGCATCTAATTATTTTTCAGGGATGTAGGAATTTGATAAATTATAGGATGTAGTTCCCTTCCCCCCACATACTTTAATTTTACATCTACCAGTGTATAACTGTAATTATTTCTCTGAATAAGATCTTCAGCTTTTTTTTTTTTTTCCCTCAATAGTCCCAATCTAAAGACAGATGCAACATCAATTAAGAATGACAGGAATGATTTCATCAGACATTTGAATCCAACACAAACATTGTGCTCTCCTCCACCTGTCTTTCAACATGACATGAAGTCATAATAATCTCTTATTTCTGGCATTTGAATAGCTTTGGAAAGAACTGCTTTTCATGCAAAAATAGGCACTGGATTTTTACAGGCAATGCCACAGAGGCCTGAGGTTTGGTGAGTCACGCTTGGCTTTGATGTGGAATGCTGGTGGCTCGTGTCCCTGGCAGGATGACTCCTCAGAGGTGGTTTGTACCTGCACCCTCCACTGATGCTGCAAGGCTGCCTGGGGTGG